AAACCTTTTTTGACAAAAATAGACAGGTCAAAATTGTCAATATTTTTTGAGTGAGTGAATAATTGAATAAAAACAGTTGTTCTTCAACTGTTTTTATTCAATTGTTAGCTCAGTTTCATGTAATTACATTCAAAAGTCAAAGATTTGCTGCTCCTAGCTTCTCTCTCTCTTCTGTCCTCGCTGACAGAAGGTTTTTCAGACAGGCTGAGCAATCAGACTTAAAAAGAGGAACAATGATCACTTTTAGGTTTTAAACACAATCTCATAATTAATATGGGGCTGGGGTGGGGGACTGCAGTGCTTAGGTTGGTTGCCTTAAAGCAAGAAGGTTCTGGATAGCAATCTGCCAGATAGGGTGTTTTTGTGTGAGATTCCTCCGAGTACTCTGGCTTCCCCCAAAAGTCCAAAAACATGCATGTTTGATTAATTGGTGATTCCTAATTGAATTTTTTGGTATGTTAGCTCTATGACAGCTTTGATGGAGACTAAATTGAATAACCAGTGCGCTGGAGAAAAGAGGAAAAAAGTCAGAAGCAAGACAGAATACATGTATATATGAGAGAGAGGTGGACAGGTGAACATGTATGGAGTAAAAGAGTTTAAATATCAGGGGGATAACAGGAGGAGAGAAGCTGCAGAGATGCGTGTAAGACTGAAACTCTGCTTCCTGGTTATAATCTCTGGATTGTCATATTTTGGGGGGTTTGATAAATTTGGCCAGATTTCTAGAAATGAGGGCTGCTCCATCCAAAGTTAGATGTATGGCATTTAGTAACTGTTAAAATAATGTATGTTTCCTGAGCAGAATATTTATACTAAATCTCAAGACAAGATACCTGTGGTAACTCCTCAAAAAGTACCCCTAATCTGTTTATTCCAGGCTCAATATCTTTAGCTTTAAAATCCACTTTTTGCATTTCAAAATAATCCTTCTTTATTTTACCCTGGGCCTTGGTGGTGACCCTTAATTCAAACAACCTTCTTCTAATTGGTTTCCAATGGCCAACAGAAGGTTTGAACAACAGCTTGGTGGGGCATGACACATGAAATGTCTTAGCATAAAGAGTGGAAGAAAAAGTAAATACTGCATGGTGAACAGCTAGCTAGATTCTATCCAAAGTTACAACTAAAGAGCAGCTGTACCTCTGGTCCTCTTTGCTCTGATGGTTATCTGTCCAGAAATGATGTCTTTTGTTCCCACTGCTGAGTAGACTGCAGCTGGATCACTCCCTACACAATAAAAGGAATTCAAATTAGTGCAGATATAACAAACATTACAGCACTGTTATATTTAAAAAGAAAATACACGAGCACTGTACAGTTCTCTTGGATGTTTTATGCCATGTTTGATCATAATATTCCATTTATTCCTAGTGTTGCTATAACCAGTAATGTAGTTAATGCACTACAGCTGTGACAAATATTTTTTATTATTTGTAATGTTACATCATGAGAAGAGTAAGAGAAGTAAGAGAAGAGTAAGTAATAAGGAATCATTTTAATAAACCACAGCAGCTTTTCACACTTTTTTTCTTATCCTTTTCTCATCATCTCTTTGCTATGAAAAGACTGACCATATGGAACTGTTTGTGTGCAAAATGAAGGTAGAAAACCACAAAGCTGCCAGAAGCTATTAATATAGACTGACACACTTCACCACAGAGCACAAAGCAAACTGTTGCTTTGCAACATGAATGCTATTATTAACCAAATCAAAATAGACAGGGGTGAGAATTCTCATTAGCTTCAGAACACAAAAACAGGATGCTGTGGCTGTGGTTATAAACTGAACGTTGGCTGTACCTGAAAGCATGCAGGTACATGATCTTTGTTCTGTTTAATCTGTCTCTTTATACATCCTGCTAACAGCTTGTATGTGAACAAAGCCCGAACAGCAGAGGCATGGGCACCTCTTCTGAGCTGCTTTTGGCAATTGCTGCTCAATTGCGAAACTGCTGAATGATCTGTTGCCCAAAAGTTGATAGAAAGTCACAACGACGTTATACTGTATATTAATTATTACCAATAACAGATCAACAGTCTAGATTAACTGCAATCAGTCCCATTGGGCTCATGACTGACCTAAAATAATAACAGGATACCTCAAAACAAGATAATTAGCTTTTTTATAATGTCCAGGATTCTGGTGAGCTACTTAAAGTAACCAATCCTGCAAAACTCAGAATACGCCTGGTAGCCTGGTGTTACTTACCAGATGTCACTAGTTACTAAGATGGAGATCATTATAAAAATTAAACATTTTAATGTATTGTTAGGATTTTAATTCAATTCAATTCAATTCAATTTTATTTATATAGCGCCAAATCACAACAAAAGTCGCCTCAAGGTGCTTCATAGGTACAGAGAAAAACCCAACAATCATATGACCCCCTATGAGCAGCACTTTGGCGACAGTGGGAAGGAAA